ATAAGAAATGTGCATAACTTAACATACAGATACATACCTTTCAAACGTTTCTGAACACAAATTAGACTTGAACAAATGGAAAGACATGGCTTGGCACTGGATAGAATGACTCAGCATCATGAAGGTGTCAGTTCTCCACCAGTTAATTTATAAATTACTTAGCCCCCAAAATATGTCAAGAAGCTTTTCTTCTTGAACTAAACGAGTTTATAACTAAAGTACATATGGAAAAATTAAAATGTAATAATATCTAGGAAAATATCAAAAAAGTAGAGCTGTGGGGGGAGGAGAGGATTAGTTCAAACAGAAATTAAAACATATTGTAAAGCCTGTGTAATTAAAACAACTCCTTGTGGACACAATAATGGAGAGAGAGAAAAAAGCAATGTAATATAAAGTTCATATGTAGATTCAAGCACATATGGAAATTTAGTATGTGATAGAGATGATACATCAAATCTTTGGGGCACAGATGGATTTGGGGGAGAAAGGAATGAAATTAGAACCATACCTCACAGAGTGCAGATTAAAGTCCAAATGGTTCAGATACATAAATGTAAAATAAGTAAATGAACGACCCACAGAAGCATGTGAAGTAAACATGACTTTTAAAATGTAACTCAGGTATATGTCAGTGATAGCTCAATAAAGCTGGGAAAAAATAAAAATAAGTGTGTTCATTAATAAAATGTAATTCAAAATCTAGGGGCAGTAGCAAGAAAATATGGGAAATTGGACTACATAAAAATGAACCTGTCTTTTCATAGCACAAAAAATAAGACAGATCAAAACACAAATGGAAAACTAGAAGAAAATATATTAAAGATCTCTCTCTGTGTGTATGTGCATGCACATACATATATATGGATTTTATATAGAGATGGATGTCCATGACTGAAGAAAAAGTAAGATAGACAAAAGACAAACTATACAAACAAGAAATTAACAAAAAAGATTAAAATGGCACTTTAACACGTGAAAAGCTGTATAGACTTAGCTATATAAAAAGACATGAAAATTTAAACTAAATTGCAATGAATTTCATGTATTTGGCAAAAATCAGATGTCCTTTTACAAATCTGTGAACAAAGCAAAAAGGTCTCCTGTTGGTGGGAATGCAAAACTGGACAATCCATACTTAGGGGAAATTGTCATTACTGACCAAAACAACATATGCAAATTATGTTTTTATGAATATGTAAATATGCATATTAAAATTATGCATTATACCCAGGAAATGCTTTCAAGTTTTCCTTGAAGGCACACCTCCAAATATATGAAAAGATATATCCCTAGGTTAATAACTGAAGCATTGTTTGTACTTGTGAAATATCGGGAAAGAAGCCCTAAATGTCCAACCCATTAGGCTAAATAAACTCAAAATGGAGTAATTTACCACTGTAAAAGATAGTAGCAGATTATTTTTATATGGAATGAATCTCAGGATGTACTGTTAAGTGAAAAGAACAAACTGGTAAAGACAGAAAAAACAGAGCTGGAAGAACATTGAGGGCATCAGTATGAGAATCACGGGGAAAGGAGAAAGACCAGACACATTTGCTTATTATGACAGAAAGAAATGCAAGAAAGATTGGCCACATTTCACAGGCACTTAAAAGCAATGGGATGTTATAAACAATGTTATTTATATATAAATGAATACATTTGAGAGAAAATAAGGAGTTTGCTTCAGCATAACAGTCAGTGGCTGCAAAAATGAGTCAGCGGAAGTTTTGCGAGGAACATGATATGTACTGACTCTCAGAGTATCTCCCCACAAATCAGTGATTCATTATGAATGGCACATAACAGCTTTACTGTGGAGAAACCTGGGAGGTGCCAAATTAACCAAGTTATGAAAGAAAAATCACCAATAAGGAAAAAGAAAGACAATATTGCTTCAACGGTATTCCACCCCAAAATTCAGAGCCTGAATCTAAGCACGAGGTGCCATTGGGCAAACCATTGTGTATGTTTTGTACATATTATGGCTTATTTCTCTCCAGAGTCTCCCCCTTCTCCATCAGCCACTCATCAACCCTAGATATGAACAACAGCTGGAAGAAAAAGCTTCCAAGGTCTCCATTCATGCCCGTGTTTTAAACTTCATTAATCCAAACGGGATTCCGTGGTCTAGGAAGATTTGGAGATGAACAAACCACTCAAGTGTGGAGAAGGGTAGTAACCTGGACAGAAACCATTCATCTTCTGACTGTCCAGCTCTACACCCAGTATTCAGTTGGCGGCATCTTTGGACAATGTCTGAAATGCAGAACTGGGAGTTTACGACAGGCAGAAAGTGTTTTCTGTGAAAGCAGAAGTCGTATATCTTGTTTGGGACCACAAAAGAGAGTGACATGTGGGGAAATAGCTGTTCCGTTTCCTGTGATAATTTCAGTGTTGAAACATGGACTGGGGGTGATGGATGCCCACCCATGGCATCATCTTTGTCAGTATGGCCTTCCAGGCTCCATCCTCTCGCCCCTCTGCACAGCCGGGGCAACCAGGAAAATTACCATGATTGTGAAACTCACTGCCCCGCTGCCTGACTCCCTGGGGAGGGAAAGTGAGTCACAGTTTTATTGTCATCATTTTGTGCTTTTAGAACAAGCCTTGAATTTCACTTTGAAATTCTCCCTAATTTGTCTTCTCAGTCGTGAGTTATTAATTTATGATTTATTAATAAATATTTTAAATTGAACATTGGTAACTAATAATCTATTATTTCCTACTAACAATGTATCATCTAATTAGTCTTCTCATTCATGTGTTATCAGTTTATTATTTATTAATCACTATTCTTAAATTAAGCATTGGTCAGTTAACCAATTATTAATCACATCATTAATAATGTATCTATTTGTTATGTCAGTGTTCATTTATTCTCTTTTACGAGCTGCGGCGTAGAGTGAGAAGTGCTGATGATTCAACAATGGGAAAGATGTGGCTTATAATTCCGTGGGACATCTTATTGGCTTAACTTCTTTTTTCTGTCTACAAAATCATAACAAATTCTGAATTACACCCCCTACCCTATCAGAGACATTTATTCAGGCAGAGAGAGACATTGAATGTGTAGATAGCATAAAATTGCTCCAAAATGCAAACTTAGTCACTTTCTTGAAGGTCCTGGATCCACGTGGGAAGATTATGCCAGGATCTGTAGGTGGAGGGGGTTTTGGGGTGGGAATCCAGAAGAGGGTATAGGCTGAGATGGGAATGGAGATTCACCTAGAGAGACAGATGTAAATCTGATATCTGCTCTGAAATAGGAAGTCATAGAATAGGAAATTCTTCATAGGAGAATTGAAGATGAGGTGTTCTCTCCAACAAAGGCTGTTTCTCCAGAGAGGAGAAAAAAATATATGAGGTCTGCCTCCTAGACACTGACCTTTTAGAAAGTAGGTTGGAGTTGAAGGTGGAGGGAGTCGCTATTCCGTGTACAGGCCTTCAATTTTCGGATCATTTTGTCTTCCATCATTTAAAAATGATGTCATCACCTTCTTTATTGGTAAAATAGTAACCTGTTGCCTCCTGCAGACTTTTTCTACTAAAACGTTCATTGTCCACCTTACCATTTTGTTAAATATTCATTTACTTCTGGAGATCCCCAAACCACCGACCTCCGTCGGTCAGAGTGAAGGCCAACGGAGGTGGTGTGATTAACAGAGACCTGCCTTGGGTTCTTGATCCCACCCTGTAGTTATTTCTCTAGCTCTGGAATTCTCAAATGGTACAGACGTCCTCAACAACTGGCGCTGGTTCTCTGACTTGTGGAGTAGAGATACGATGGAAGGAAAGGCCAGGTGGAGGCACTGGAAATGCCTCTCCCTACCAAAATCGTGAAACCAAAGTGCCCCTGCACTCCCAGAGGGACTGCACAAATGGTACCACCATCGAGAACCTGACAGATACGGAGGCGATGGTACCTTCCACATCCCCATGCAAGTTGCCTACTTGGTTTGTTCAGAAGACAGAAGGACCTGGGAGTACAGTAGTGGATTCTTCTTCATCAGGTGGTGACTCCCACTTCAGCTTCTGCTCCAGCTGAAGAACCACAGAGAAACCCACACATGCCCTGGCACCTCATCTGCAGCTGTTGGTCTGGTTAAAGTTTATTTTCTCTGGGTCTATCTCTAAAGGCTATATATATGGTCAGTCTGCTTTGGGCTGTCAGGGCCAGTAACACATCTCCACTGCCCTCCTTCAGGTCTGTATCGACTCACCAGCCCTCTGCTATCCAGGCTTCAGGGACCACGACCGCCCCTCTGTTGCACAGGACATCACACAGGTCCATTATATACCGTGCTGGCTGGGCCTGTGGAACATGAAGCAGCAACTATTCTAGGTGCTTTGCAAGATTTATGTGTTCCAGAGGGTGAGAAATAAATCTTCGAAAATTGCCTCGGTGAAAATTCTAAGAGTCCAGTCGCCTGAGGCATGTTGAGATATCCCATCCAAGCTGAAGACTCATTGCTCATCTGACCCTCCTCCTAGTGAGAAAGAAGTCCAATCCTTAGGGGGCCTTCTTTGGATTTGGAGACAACATATACATCCTTGGGCATGCTACCTCCACCCACTTTTGAGTGTCTTGAGTGGCTGCTGAGTTTTAAGTGGGACCCAGAACAAGAGAAGACTTTGTTATGTGCCTCAGCCACAGGAAGCCTGAGCTATATGACCCCAAAGATCCAATGGTGTTTGAAACATCTGTGGCAGATGAGGTCACTATACAGAGCCTTTGGCAGGAAACTATAGATGAATTACAATGTAGGCATTTAAGATTTGGAACCACACTATGTCATTTCTGCAGATAATCATTCTTTGTGAAACAGCTTCCAAGTTGTTACTGGGCCCTGGTTGAGATGGATGCTTGGCCATGAGCAGGCGTGTTACCATGTGACATGAGCTGCCCATCATGCACTGGGAGCTGATTAGCTACCAAGCCTTAAATGGGGATGTCCAGCATCACTCCATCATCTAACAGAAGAGGTTTATATGAGACACGGCTAGAGAAGTTCCTGAAGGCAGAATAATGAAGTCCCTTATCCTAAAGATGTCTACATCCTAATCCTCAGAACCTGGAATATGTCACCTCACAGGATAAAAGGGACTTTGCAGGTGTGATTAAGTTAAGGATCCTGAGATGGGGAGATGATCTTGGATTATCCAGATGGGCCCAATGTCATCATAAGTCCTTCTGAGTGACAGAGGGAGACAGAGGGGTCAGAGTCAAAAAAGGAGATGTGACTCCAAAGCAGCAGATGGAGCGATGTGATGGCTGGCTTTGAAGAAGGAAGGGCTGACGAGGCAAGGGATACGGGAGCTTGTAGAAGCTTGAAAAGCAAAGGGAATGGATTCACCCCGAGAGCCTCCAGAAGGAGCACAGCCTGATGACAACTTGATTTTAACTCAGGGGCGTCCGTTTTGGACTTCTGACCTCCAGAACTGGAAGATAATAAATCTTGTGGCTGTAGCTCGTTAGCTTGTAGTGATTTGTTATGGCCTCAGTGGGACGAACGCACTGGATATCTGTTGTTTTGTCGGTGTTGGTGTTTTGTTTGTTTTTTTCCTAGTCTGAGCTCTGTAAGCTCAGCTTTTGAATCTGTCTTGTTCAGTGATTGTACTTCTGGGCCTGACACCTTGGATATACTCAAAATACGTGCTGATGTTTGCCTCAAGAAAGGGGTTCAGGCCAAGCAGAAAGCAGCGTATGGGTCAAGTGAAGCCTCAGATGTGGTCAGAAATGTCTGCAGAAGCCTGCTGGTCACACCAGCCCCAGCCCTGGGAAAAGGAGAGCCAGGCTCCTGGGGAGGGGCAGTTCCCCTTTCTGTGGGATGGCTGACGTGACAACCCCGTGATGGGGAGGACCTCCCTGTGGCCACATCCTGTGCTTCTGACTGTCCTGCTGGGCGCTGTGGTCTCTTCCATCTGCACAGCCAGGGCCACGGGGAGGAGAAGCCATGACCCTCACCCTCATGACCCTGCTCTGCCTTGGTGAGATTTGAGGAGGGGAAAAGGAGAAGCCCCTTCTCTAGAAAGAGAAGACCCCGCCCCACAGCCAGGCCCTGGTCTGTCAGGAGTTCCCAGGTCTCAGGAGGCTCATAGGGAGGAGAGGTTCTTCTCAGGATTCGGGGCAAATCTCTCACAGGGAACTCTCTTCCAGGGCTGAGTCTGGGTCCCAGGACGCCAGTGAAGGCAGGTGAGTCTGTCCCCAGGTGTCCCAGGTCCCACCTCCTCAGTGAGACAAAGGAGCCACTCCTGGGCATTTGGGCGCAGAGACAGCAGTTCTGGTCTGAAGGAGGGGGGATGTCTGGAAGGGTCCTGGGGCTGAGAGCTAGGGAACTGGGGGAGGGGAATGTCTTGTGACCCAGCCTCTGATTTCCTTCCAGGGACCCTCCCCAAACCTACCATCTGGGCTGAGCCAGGCTCTGTGATTGCCTGGTGGAGGCCTGTGACCATCTGGTGTCAGGGGACCCTGGAGGCCCAGGAGTACTGCCTGGATAAAGAGGGAAGTGCATCGCCGTGGGACAGACAGAACCCAGTAGATACTAGGGACAAGGCCAAGTTCTCCATCCAACATATGACAGAGCAATTTGCAGGGAGATATCGCTGTTACTATCTCAGCCCCACTGGCTGGTCAGAGCACAGTGACCCTCTGGAGCTGGTGGTGACAGGTGAGAGGACACTCAGAGGTCCCAGCCTCAGGCTCTGCCCTCAGGAAGAAGGTCTGCTCTCAGGGGTGTGTCCACTCTCACAGCCCAGCCCTGGGCTGAGGGATATGGGGGAGGTGTGTGCCCCATTTAACATGCTGCCTCCTCATCTCCTAGGATTCTACCTCAAACCCACCCTCTCAGCCCTGCCAAGTCCTGTGGTGCCCTCAGGGGGGCACGTGACCCTCCAGTGTGGCTCATGGCAGAGATTTGGCAGATTCGTTCTGACTAAGGAAGGAGAACACAAGCCAATCTGGACCCTGGACTCACAGCAACACCCCTATGGACAGTTCCAGGCTGTGTTCCTTGTGGGCCCCGTGACCCCCAGTGACAGGAGGACATTCAGATGCTACGGCTATTACACAAGCAAACCCCAGATGTGGTCAGACCCTAGTGACCCCCTGGAGCTCATGGTCTCAGGTGAGGGCCCCTGACCCTGCCCTGTCTGAGTCAGTCAGCTCAGGGCTCTGTCTCCCAGAGAGCTCTGGGCTGGGATGAGAGTGACGGGCCCCAAGGGAGGGTCACCCAGAGGGGGATCTGCCCCTCAGAGTGCAGGAGGGAAACAGGGCCCCCCCATGCCCACCTCTTCCCACATCCCCATCACTAGAATCCTCCAGGTGGGTGGAGGGAGAGCCTTGGGGACACAGGGCAGATGAAGGAGAAGAGAGTGAGCAGAGACGGGGTCTCTCGGGGAACCTCCAGCCCCTCATCTCCTCTCATCCTTTCTCCCAGGATCCTCTGGGGACCCCACCTCCCCACCCACAGGGCTCAACTTAACAGCTGGTGAATCACAGGGGCCTCTGTCCAGAGAAGTCACAGTTTCCCCAGGCCTGTCTCTCGAGACTCAGCTGATCTGACTCCCAGTTCCTCTCTCAGCACAGCTTGTCCCCCAGGGGGGCTGGGAGTCGGGCAGAAGTGAGGGTCCAGGGGGCTCCGGGGCTCTGAGGCTGGACGGATGATGGGTGGGGCAGTCACCGCACAGGGAGATGCTTGGGCCCAGCCTGGGGGAGGGGCAGCCATGCTGAAGTGGGGAGAAGTAACGCCCCCTACCTCCTGTCCTGATGCCCAGGAGGCTCTGAGGATGGACTCTCTCTCACCGAGTCACGCACTCCGAAGGGTAAGTGAGGGTCTCTGTGGGGAGGTGGTGGGTGGGTCCATGGAGGGCGGGGATTGAGCTACGTCATCAGGAGACTGACTTAGACTCATCTTCCCCTGAATGGGCCTCAGTTTCTCCAAGTGTAAAGGAGGGAATCGTGGCCCAGAGCTTAGATTTCCTTTCAATTCTGTCTATGGCTCTGGCCTCCTGGGAGAGGTAGTCTCACAGGGAAGTCCCCGAAGGACGTGATTTTGTGGAGGCCTGTCCCCTCTGGAGCAGTGACGGTGACATTGTACAGGGGAGGGAGGGGCAGGACACTGGTCTGGGCGTTTAGGCCCTTTCCCTTTAGCTCAAGGTGCATAGCTCGAGTGGAAAGAGCAAGGAAAGCAGTCAGCCCCCCAGATTCAGTCCCAGCTGGGCTGCTCCAACTCTGGGGCCCTGAGCAGCTCATTTCTCTTCTCTGAGTCTTAGTGCATTGTCTGTAAAGCTCCCTGGTCCCATCCTGCTCACAGGCCTGCAGTGACATTAGGTGAAATAAGGACCTGTGTGTTACAGAGCTCAGGAAAGACAGAGACCCCACCCCAGGCCGGACCTTCCCAAGGGGCATCAGGGCCCTGCAGGGTGGGTGACGGACCCCAGGAGAGATGCAGAGCCCACCCAATGCATCCCGCCCTCCCCCAGGTCCTCGCTGTGTATGGGGAGGGGAGGGTAATGAGGACGGACCCCCAGCTCCAGATGAAACACTGGGGCAGGCCCTGGCTACAGATGTGGAGCCCCAGAGGATTGAGCCAGTGTCTGCCTGGGGGGCATCACGATGAGTGCACAGGGAACCCACAGTCCTGGGTTCCAGTCCCAGCTCTGCCACTTCAGGCTGGGTGACCTGGGGCACATGATTTACCTGTTTGTGCCTCAGTTTCCTCATCTGTGAAATGGTTGGATGGGGGTGGCAGTCTCTTGTTGTATGATTGCTGTGAGTGAGAGGAGATGAATGCACTGACCCCAGCACATGTGTGGCACACAGTAGACACTAAATTAAAGAGCATCACTGGCTCATTCATGACGTCACTTGTGCCCAAGGTCTCAAATGGTACCTGAAGGTTCTGGTTGGGGTCTCGGTGGCCTTCGTCCTGCTGCTCTCCCTCCTCCTCCTCCTCTTCCTCATGCGACACTGGCGTCAGGGCAAAAGCAGGAGGTCAGGTGAGTAGGGAACAGAGTGACCCGGGTCACAGGGGGAGGTGGGCTTAGGGCACCAGCAGAGGGAAAGCAAGTAGATGGGAGGGTGAGCTCCCAAAAAGACTTTTCCAGAATCTCAAATCAGAAACTCCTAAAGAAAACACTTAATGCAGCACACATGTACACATTTAAGGTGTTCTTTCAGCTTTTTAATCTCAAGAAATATGGAAACGTACACACAAGTATGTGTTAAGGTTTCCTTCTTTCCTTTCGAATCCCATGTGGAGGGCGGGTGGTCATGACCTCCCAGGGATGAAACTCTGTCCATCATGACCCTGCCCAGAGACAGGCTGATCTCCAACTCCCTGCAGGGGCTGCAGACCCAGAGCCCAAGGACAGAGGCCTGCAGATCAGGTAATTCCTGTCCTGAAGACCCCAGACTCCCACCCCGCCCTAGGTCCCTCTCTGCCCCTAACACTCCCGTCTCCTCCCCCAGCTCCAGCCCAGCTGCTGACGCCCAGGAAGAGACCCTCTGTGAGAGGAGAGGAGGGGCCACCCTGGGGGGTGGGCACAGAGGTCTCAGGAGGCCATGGGGGAATAGACTGGGAGGATCTGGGGATTCAGTGTGAGAAGCACTGAAATCCCACCCTGAGTGACCTCGGGCACATCTCACCCCTGGACCTCAGTGGCCCATCTGAGAGCTGAGAGGGGCCTGCAGCCCTGAGAGATCTCAGGAATCCTGCCAAGAGACACACCCCCTGTTCTGCCCCAGCAGATGCTGCCGTGAAGGACACACAGCCTGAGGAGGGCGTGGAGCTGGACCATCAGGTGAGACCCCTGCTCCTGTCCAGGCCACCAGTTTGACCTACCTGTTGTCAAACTTATTCCAGTGGACACTTCTTGTCCTCACGTCACCCAGCTCTCAGCAGTGTCCCACACTGACCTCTCCTCTCGGGCACCCTGGGTCGTCCTCCTGTGACTTCACTCCTCCTGGTTTCTGTGAGATCATGGCTCCTCCTACGTGATCCCCTTTCCTGGGTCCTCATCTTCTCTCTGACCTTCTGGTTGTTGGGGTGCACCCCTAGGGCTCAAGAGGATGCATAAATAAGTGAATAACCCTCAAGGCCCCTAGGCCCCCTTCATTCATTCCCGCAACAATGTGCACAGGGACCTTACTGTTTACCCAGCTCCATTCAGGTGCTGCAGGTGCAGCAGTGAGGAAACTGTGTCCACACTCCTTTAGCTCACCTTGTGGGTGAGAGACAATACACAAATATGCAGGTAGCATCCTAGAGTGCAAAGTGCTGTTAAGGAAAATAAAGTGAGGAAAAGGGATAGAGTGCATGCAGGGGGCAGAGGAAACAGCAGATGCAAAGGTCCTGAGGCAGCAAAATGATTTTTCAGGGAAATGGGCCATGTGGCTGGAGACAAATGAGTGAGAAATAGTGTGTGAGGATAAGAATCAGAACAGTAGAGAGCACCCAGATGTCCAAGGTTTAGGATGTCCCTGAAGATTCCATCAGGAAGTGCCCTCACTCTATAACAGTGTGGAGGGTTGACTGGAGGAGGTCAGCAGTGGGGTCAGGGAGACACTGTTTCTGTCCCTCTGTCCACCTCCAGCAGGGCCCCCATGATGAAGACCCCCAGGGAGTGATGGAAGCCCAGGTGATCCACTCAAGATCAAGACTTAGACAGAGAGTGTCCATCTCTCCTTTCCCCCTGTCAGAAGAATCACTGGACATGAAGGACAGACAAGCAGAAAAGGACGGACAGAGGGACAGACAGGTGGGTCCCATCCTCTCCTGGACACCAGGCTGCCCCCACCCCAACCACATACCTATCCCCCACTCTCCCCCTGCTCCAGGCTACTGCGTCTGAAGACCCCCAGGACGTGACCTACGCCCAGCTGAACCACTTGACCCTCAGGCGGGAGACAACATCCTCTTCCTCCCAGTCAGAGGAACCCCCAGCAGAGCCCAGCGTGTATGCTGCTCTGGCCATCCACTAGCCCAGAAAGGACCCAGACCCACCCTCCAGGGAGAGAGACTGCAGGGACTCCAAAAGGCACAGGAGCTGCCCCCAAAGGACACATCCTAATGACCCCCAGCCAGCCAGACTCCTAACATGGACCACCAGGACGTTCTGGGACACTTTGGGAGTCACCTGATTCTGCCGTCAAAGATAACTAATATCGACACATTATGGAAATAAAGCAGCAGACTTCTCAGTAATCTATAGTTTAATGAGAAATCCAAAACAGAAGTGAGAGAATGTTTTAAACATGATGGTAACGTAAATATTACCCAACAAACGTATGAAATAGGAAAATTCAGAACCATGAATAAATGAATATAGTAGAAAAGAACAGCCTAAAGAAACAATGACCTAAGCTATCATATCAAGAATTTAGAAAAAGAATAATATATTATTAGAAATAAAGGTAGGAGGGAAATAGTAATGACAAGAGTAGCTACTAATGAGGACAAACAAATAATAGAGAAAAGTCATGAAAGCCAAAAAAATTCATTCTTGAAAACATTAATCACATTTATACATCCCAGCCACAATGCTCAAGGAAAAGAGAGAACTCATACATCATATCATCAAGACAACATTACAGATCCTACAGACTTCAAATAGGTAACTGATCATTATGATCAATTTGATGCCAGTATATTAGAAAATGTAGATGAAATGGACAAAATTTTCAATGTACAATTTAAAAAATGATGGACACAAAAATAAATAGAAAATCTGAATTGTCATAGATATTAAATATGTTGAATCTGTAATTAAAAATTTTCCCAAAAAGTGAATGCTGAGTCTGGAAAAGTTCATTCACGAATGCTTCTGAATACTAACACACTTATGACATACACACAAACACACACCTGGAGACACACACACAGACATGGACATGGGCCCTCACACATACACACACACATACATACACATACCAAACTTACACGAGCTTCTCCTGAAAATAGAAGAGGCAATATTCCTCCCAACACATTTTATCAGACCAGAAAAAAATTGATACCAAAACCTGACAAGGAAACTACAAAATGGGAAGATCACAGGAACCTCTCGCACAGGATCTTAGCTGTAGATTCCTACATAAAATATTCCCAAACAGGAGTCAGTGATATATAAAATGGATGATACATCATGATCATGCTGGTATGTTCTTTTTAGGAATGCATGGTTTGTTTCATATTCAAAAAGCAATCAATAAAACTCTTACATAAAACAATAAATAGAAAAAATGATCATATCAAAAGAATCAAAGCTTCTGATAAAATACATCACTGATTTATAATGAAATAAACAACTTCTCAGAGATAAGTCAGAATTTCTATCAGTTAGAAAAACATCTTTAAAAATCTACAATAGAGATACCAGAGACGTCAGCATCATGGCGGAGTGAGCTTTCCTGTGAACTCTTCCCCCAACAAGATACAACAAAAGGAAAAGTCACAGACCAACAACGGAATCCCAGAGAGTGAAAAGCTAGAGCGGAGGGATCCACACTGCCGCACATCTGAGAGCAGAACGTGCTGGGCCCCCGGGGGAAGTGGGGAGAGGTAAGAACTCCTCTCCCTCCCCATCAGATCAGCGATCCCGGTCCGCGCGGCTCCCAGAGAGGGGGGAGGGGCGGCCCTCGGCGGGGAAACCGTGGCTCTTCGG